TCACAGACTGTAAGTAATTTTTTTATATTTAAAGAGTTTTTATATTTTTTATATTTAAAGCGAGTTTTTTGGGCAGTGTAGAGTAGCGCTTGTTGTTTGTCATGTCTCCGATCACAAATGCAGACATGGTTTTATGTTAAAGCGGCGCGATGCAACGCAACGCATAAAAAGTCATTATAATCCATAATTATGTCCCCACTGGATGCAACGAATACCTCGTTTATAATGGGATTTCATGTTTTTTAATCATCGCTCCGGCCTGACAGGGCATCACAATATGGTAAGGGGCGTAACATTTCCGTCACAAGCTTGAGGTATTCAGCCAATCACAATGCACTAGATAGCTGGCCAATCACAGCACACCTTGCTTTTCAGACCGATGAGCTTTGTAAAAATCGACGCGTTTCAGAAAGGCGGGGCATAGAGGAGAAACAATAATGTACAGTATGTGGAAAATAATGTGTTTTTTGAACCTTAAACTGCATAAACACATTTCATTACGCCAAATACACAAAATAATGTTCTTTTTAGCAACATCATATGACCCCTTTAAAGAAATAGCAAAATATAGCGCTGACCCAATATGGTAAGAGAGAGTCCCAACAAGTGATCCGAAACTGGGGCCAGCAGTCCACCCTTGTTGTTGAGCCCTGCAAACCCTTTTCAGTGTGAATAGCATTTCATATGAAGGTCTGACAGAAGCCCTTTGATCAAGTTAAGTCAAATTAGTGAAGCAAAAAGCCTATCCTTATCTCTGTTTTCTTATCCTGCCCTCCTAAATCTAACCCAGTTTGGTCTCCTGTCTGCTCACATCGGCACACTACCACACAGGTACCTTTTTTGGGTGGTTTCTTGTTGTTGTTGTTCAGTTGTCCGCTCACGTCCTGTAGCCTCTTTTCTAACTCTTTCTTCTTTTCCTGAACCAGTTCCTCTTTAGACTTGGCACTCTTTTTCCCAGTGCCCGCTGCAGGAGACACACAGCGGTGACCGGTGAGTAACGGGTTGCCCTCGTAGCCCACCGCCGTGGCAACAAGCAGCAAAAAGCACTCTACTACACTGGTTTTGAACAACTTTGTGTTAAAGGAATCTATCAGGTTCGATGCAAGTTAAGGCCAAATGGCAGCATTTGTATATAACCAGAAAAAATCTTTTAGACTCATTCCTCATTTTCTTTTTAAAAACAATTATCTAGGTTCCATTAAGGCACTAACAATGGAAGTGAATGGAGCCACTTTTTGTAAGATAAAAAAAAAATCACATAACTTATTCTGTTAAAACCTTTATATTTGAGTTGTAAAGTTATTCTCCTAATTTTTAGTTGGTGTTGTGGGAAAAAAGTGAAATTCAATATAACCTTTAACAGAAAAGGTTAGTAGCACTTTCTTCAAACTAAAACCATGTTTCCTTGTATCCAAAATAAAGGTTTTTGTTTACATAATATATGAGTGTGTACTGTGTATATTTGTTATGTATATATAAATACAAACACATGCATGTATACATTTAAGAAAAATATGTTATGTTTATATATTAAACATTTTTATATATAATATAATAATATAAATGTATATACATGTAAATATTTTCAATATATATATACTGTATGTGTGTGTATTTATATATACATAATAAATAAGCACAGTACACATACATATATTATGTAAACAAAAACTTTTATTTAGGATGCGATTAATCGTTTGGCAGCACTAGATTTTAACACTGATGGACTGACCCTGACATTTCTTTTTTTATTATAGGAGGGACAAGTAGAAATTACTTTTTGCAATAATCAGCATTAGGCCACAAATGCTGTCGATTGAGCTTAACTATTAATGAACCCAGAATATTCCTTTATGAAGTATGAGCAGTGCAGTGTGCACATTAATTACATGTACACTGCGTTCAATTTGGAAATTCATGGTCTGATCAAATGTTCTCTATTTTATACTGACGTACTCTTTAAACCCTTGAAGCTTCACTTGGAGGTATTAATAGGGAAAGCACAAGTAAGATAATCCTCCAAAAATCATGCAACACATTGGAGAAGGTGAGTGCTCCCAGCTCAAAGGAGGAAACAGCACAGCCCATTTCAGCTTTTAGAGCAGACGGACCAGGCAAGAAAAGAGAGCTGCTGGTCTCTAAAATACTGTAGTAGCAACACATCTGCAGAGAAGGAAAAGAAAGGCACTTACGTAAAGGTTTGCGCTGCTTTTTCTGTAAACAGGACTTGACGTATCGTTCGAGCTCACGCAGCGTGGAAGGCTTGAGCGTTTCGAAGTCGATCTCGATCTCGTCTGGGTTGGAGTCTCGCAGCGACGGCTCACGCGACTGGATGATGTGGACCACACGGCCCAGTTTCTCACCCGGCAAACGGTTGATATCCAGGCTGAGCTGCCGTTTCTCGTCGTAAGACATGGGAAGAGACTCCTCCTCGTCAGACTCGTAGTTTGCAGAGCCAGGTTTGCCCCCCTTTTTCGGTTGCCTGTGGATTGGAGGTGTAGATTGCTCAAAGGCTTCGTGATCTTAACTTTACACATAAGACTGAACTGGCATGCTGAAATTGAGATAGTGACAGTATGCTCACATCACCACAACTACCAATAAATGGAACATTGTGTGTAATTGCATTGCTTTGACTTACACTGATGTCATATCTCAATATTATAACTTTGACCAACATGTACAAGGCAGGCCTAATAATCAGCTGATATTTTCAGTTGATTATTGGTTAATAATTGTGCCTGCTTGGCCTATTAACAAGTGTTTGCCTTGTTTTCCTTTCTGTGGAGCTTCAGCTTTCTATGGAAGCCGGTTTCCGCAGAGTGAAAGATAAACTTTAAAATAAGAAACAAGGTCAAAGAGAAATAAGCAGCAATAATGAAAGATAGCCACAATTATATATAAAGTTATGGCAAGAGATATACACTACTGTTCAAAAGCTTGGTCTCGGTTATATATATTTTTTCTTTTGTTGAAAGAAATCATTATTTTTATACAGTAATGAAGCATTAAATTGATCAAAAGCGAATTTGAATACATCTATAATGATACAAAAGATTTTGGTTTCAAATAAATGCAATTTTTTTTGTACCACAGTTTCTACAACAATATTAAGAGCTAAACCGTTTTCAACATTTATAATAATAAGAAATGTTTGTTGAGCAGCAAATCATCATAGAAGGATTTCTGAAGGATCATGTGACACTGAAGACTGGAGTAATGATGGTGAAAATTCAGCTTTGCATCACAAAAATAAATAACATTTTAAACCTATTTTAAATTATAACAGTATTTCACAAGAGTGCAGCTTTTACTGTATTTTTGATCAAACAAATGCAATCTTGGTGAGCATAAGAAACTTCTTTCGAAAACCTAAAAGATATTTTGAACGGTAAAGTCCTAATTATGAGAAATAAAGTTGCAATTTTTTCAATGTATCAATTTTAAATTGATTTATTAACCTATTTTATTTTTTATTTTTAATCAGAGGTGGAAACAGGTTTCCATAGATTTCAGATATTTTAGAGGGAATTTGAATAAAAATTATGTCAAATGTGTACATCCCATTGCCTAGTAAGACCTACATAATAAAATATAGAATGTCTAATATTGCCTAATTATATGGCTAATTATTTGAAATTATAACATAGGTATATAAGCATTATATTTAACAAACTGTCACCATTCTTTCTAGAGATCACACAAAACAAAACATAACCACTATAAATGGGATCAAAAAGGTATCATACAGAAAACAAGCTAACCTCGTGATGGATGTGCTGTTGGGTTTCCGCGCAGAGGTCTTCTTCTGCTGCTGCTGAGTTTGCTTATTCGTTTGTGAGGACTTGGCCTTTTTGTCATCTTCCACCTTGACCTTGCTTTTGTCTTTGTCTTTCTCTTTGTCTTTTTTCTTCTTCTCTTTCTTTTTCTTTGGTTTGCTCACAGGACCCTGTGACAGAGCGGCTAGCTGTTCATGAACAGCCTTCAGCTGAGGAGGAAGGTGGAGGGAATGGTTAGCAAGCAGGGGGATGGGGCATGCTGCATCGAGGCTAATGTAAAAGACTAGGATCTTAGCTGTGCGGGGACAAATGATGGGACTGGTGATGAAGGGAAGAGTTTGAAGGATACTGAATGACATTTGTCACCTACATATCTCCCATTTTCATGGAAATGCTCTCCCAAGAGAAGAGGACTCATTTGCCAAGCCCAGCTAAATTTTGTTCACTTATGAATTCTTAGCAAACAAAATGGGCATAATCATATTTAACTACTTTAAAATTCCAAATATTCAAATAGTACAGCGCATTAATCAAACAGTTCTACAAAGACAATATATTTGTCCAGTATTTCTGAAAAACCCACATGTAAACAGTTTAAAGTAGGCATGAATTGAAAATTCACCCTAGGGCTGGGTAATAAACAATATTTGATCAAGACTGCAATAACATTTGTGTTCATGTGTGTGTGTGTGTGTGTGTGTGTGTGTGTGTGTGTGAATGAATGAATGGCGTAGTTTCGTCAACTACACAAGCTCAAAAATGTGTGACGCTCACTGTGTTTTCAGAGTCTGCCGTCTTGATATATGGGAACATGAACTTCATCTCCAGAGCTGCTCTGAGAGTCACTTCAACAGCTTTTCATTATTTAATTTGAGAAAAACTACAGTCAAATACACAATGAAACTCAAAGATTAAATCATAAAACAGAATTTTAAAAATTATTAAAATGTAGCTACAGGGTTCGTACACATTTTTACCAATACATTTCCATGACTTTTCCATGACTTTTGAGACAATATTCATGACCTAAATGTTCCATTATTTTACA